TGTCACCATGCCTGACTCTGTTCCTTAGTGTAGCCTTGAACTCACAGAGATCCAGATGGATCTCTGCCTCTCGAATGCTAGCATTAAAGGTATGTGCTACCACCTGACTTCTATGTTTAATATAGTGGCTGGCTTTTTCCTCTGATCCTCAGATAAGCTTTATTAGCATGCACAATATATTGGGAGACACAATATATCACCACACACTAGGGGTTAAAGGTCTGTTTAAATTGCTTATCTGATCTTGATTTAACTTTGGTAACTGGTACTTATTGAGAAAATTAACCATTTCTTATAGATTTTCCAATTTGATGAAGTACAGATTTTTTAAAGTATGTCCTTATGATTCTCTGAATTTCCTCAGTGTGTGTTATGTCTCCCTTTTCATTTCTGATTTTGATAATTTGATTATTCTATCTTTGCCTTTAATTAATATGGATAAGCATTTGTTAATCTTATTTTCTCAAAAAATACAACTCTTTGTTTTTCTGATTCTTTGTATTGTTCTCTTTGTTTCTATTCTTATTGGTTTCAGCCCTGAGTTTGATTATTTCTTGTCCTCTACTCTTTTGGGGTATGATTTCTTCTTTTTGTTCTAGAGCCTTTAGGTGTGATGTTAAGTTGCTAGTTTGAAATTTCTCCAGTTTTTGAAATGTAGGCACTTAGTGCTATGAACTTGCCTCTTAGAACCTCTTTCATTGTGTACCATAAGTTTGGGTGTGTTGTCTTTTTATTTTCATTTCAATCATAGAAAGTCTGTAATTTCTTAATTTCTATCTTGACCCATTTTTTCATTTAGTAGAGAGCTGTTCAGTTTCCACCAAGTTTGTAAGCTTTCTGTTGTTTCTTGTTGCTGATATCCAGCTTTAATCCCTGGTGACCTGATAGGATGTAGGGTGTTGTTTCAATTTTCTTGTATCTGTTGAGACTTGAGTTGTGTGACTATATGGTCAGTTTTGAGCAAGCTCCATGAGGTGCAGAGCAGAAGGTATATTTTTTTTTGTGTTTGGGTGAAATGTTCTGTAAATATCTGTTATGTCTGTTTGGTTTATAAAGTCTTTTAACTCCAGTATTTCTGTTCAGGTTTTTGTCTGGATGACCAGTCTATAGGTGAAGTGAGGTATTGAAGTCTCCCATTGTCAGTGTGTTCAGGTCAATATTTGATTTAAGCTGTAGCAGTGTTTCTTTTACAAACTTGGGTGTCCTGGTGTTTGGAGGCATAGATGTTAAGAGTTGAAATGTCTTTCTGGTGGATTTTTCCTTGAATGAGTATTTCATGTCCTTCCCTATCTCTTCTGATTAGTTTTGATTTGAAGTCTATTTTGTTAGCTATTAAATGGCTGCACTAGCTTGCTTCTTAGGTCCGTTTACTTGGAATATCTTTTCCAATCCTTTACCCTGAGGTAATGTCTAGCCTTGATTTTGAAGTGTGTTTCTTGGATGCAGCAGCAGGATGGATCCTGTTTTTCTATCCATTCTCTTAATCTGTGTCTTTTTATTGGGGAATTGAGACCATTGATATTGAGAGATATCAATGACCAATGACTGTTGAGTCCTCTTATTTCGTTGTTGTTGGTGGTGTCCTTGTTGTTGACGGTGGTAGTGGTGTGTGGTGGGGGAGAGAGATCCTGTGTGTTTCCTTTCTTTTGATTTTTCAGGTCTTAGATTATTTACCCTTGTGTTTTCATGGTTGTGCTTAACCTCCTTAGGTGGTAGTTTTCCTTCTAGCACCTTCTGTAGGGCTACATTTGTAGATAAATATTGCTTAAGTTTGACTTTATTGTGGAATATCATCTATGGTGATTGAAAGCTTTGCTGGGTGTAAGTTTGGGCTGGCATCGATAGTCTCTTAGAGACTGCAGTATATCTGTCCAGGCTCTTCTGGATTTTAGAGTCTCCATTGAGAAGTCAGGTTAATTCTAACAGATCTGTCTTTATATGGTACTTGATCTTTTCCCTTTGCATCTTTTAATATTTTCTTTGTTCTGTGTGTTTAGTGTTTTCATTATTATGTGCCAAGGGGACTTTCTTTCTGGTCTAATCTATTTGGTGTTCTATAGGCTTCTTGTGCCTTTATGGGCACTTCCTTTAGGTTAGGAAATTTTTCTTTTCTGATTATGTTGAAAATATTTTCTGGGCCTTTACACTGTTTTCTTTTCCTTCCTCTATTCCTATTATTCTTGGGTCTGTTTTTTTGTTTTTTTGTTTGTTTTTGTTTTGTTTTTGTTTTTTTCATAGTGTCTCAGATTTCCTGGCTGTTATATGTTGGGAGTTTTTCAGATTTAACATTTTCTTTGACCAGTGAGTGTATCCATTTCTTCTATCGTATGTTCAATACCTGAGAGTGTCTCTTCCATCTCTTGTATTCTGTTGGTGATATTTGCATCTGCAGTTCCTGCTCAAATTCCTAAAATTTTCATTCCCAGATTTCCCTCAGTTTGGGTTTTCTTTATTGATCCTATTTCTGTTTTCAGGTCTTGAACAGTTTTATTCATTTTCTCACACTGTATTTTCCTGGATTTCTTTAAGGGGTTTATTCAGTTCCTCTTTAAGGAACTTTATCATTTCCATACAGGCTGTTTTACAGTCTTTTTCATGTGATTCAACTATGTTGGGATATTTGGCACCTGCTGTGGTAGTTTCTAGGCTCTAGTGGAGACATACTGTCCTGGTTGTTAATGTTTTTACAGAACAACCAGGCATCTGGGATTGGGATGACATAGTTCTAGGTGTTGATATCTGGTTTTGTCTTTGTTGGGTGGCTGTTTTGTTTCTCAGTTTCTTTTTCCTCTCTGGATTTTAGGGGAGTGTGATAGCCCGTTGTGTTGCTTGGTAGGAAAATTTCCCTGGTGTGTTCCCAGGAAATGCCTGCTGGGATTGGAGGCTGGGACCATGGAATGCCTGCTGGGATTGGAGGCTGGGACAATGGAATGCCTGCTGGGATTGGAGGCTGGGACCATGGAATGCCTGCTGGGATTGGAGGCTGGGACAATGGAATGCCTGCTGGGATTGGAGGCTGGGACCATGGAATGCCTGCTGGTATTGGAGGCTGGGACCATGGAATGCCTGCTGGGATTGGAGGCTGGGACCATGGAATGCCTGCTGGGATTGGAGGCTGGGACAATGGAATGCCTGCTGGTATTGGAGGCTGGGACAATGGAATGCCTGCTGGGATTGGAGGCTGGGACAATGGAATGCCTGCTGGGATTGGAGGCTGGGACAATGGAATGCCTGCTGGGATTGGAGGCTGGGACCATGGAATGCCTGCTGGGATTGGAGGCTGGGACAATGGAATGCCTGCTGGGATTGGAGGCTGGGACCATGGAATGCCTGCTGGGATTGGAGGCTGGGACAATGGAATGCCTGCTGGGATTGGAGGCTGGGACAATGGAATGAGTTGAGAGAAGGAAGGTTGGAGAGATCTTTGTGATCCATTTGGGATGCGGTCAGAGAGGACAGGGAGACTAAGTAAATATTTGCTGCTTGAGAACCTAGTTGGCATAGATGCAATATTAGTTAAAAAAAAATCCAAGAACTTAAGGCATGCATGGCTACAACAACCAAGAACCCTGACAGTGGGCAGTCTTAGAATTTTATATTGATAACAGTAAAGACTTAACTGGTGGTCTTTAGAGCAGCATTCCTTACCTCTCATGCTGCTCACACTCCCTTTTCATGTCCTATACCTGTGCAGGCTGCTGTTCCATGACGAGGGCTCTGGTTTGTCCTGTGTTTATCTCTGAAAGGCTAATGGGAGGATCCACGACACCCTATGATGCTGTGAAGGGGCAGAAGAAAAGGCAAAACCAAGCTCTCCTACAGAGACATGAGGCACCCTCCCATCCAAGGGTCAGCACACCCCACCCCCCCCAAGGTACTTTCATCTGTGGGCTCATTTTCTAGAAGTTTCTCAGCAAATAAAAAGAGAGAACTCACAAGGCATAATTAAGGATGGATCTGTTTATCTTTTAAAATCTTAATTAGATTTATTCATGTGTTTTGCCTGCATGTGTGTATGTGAGGAGGTCAGAAGAGGGCATCGGGTCTCCTAGAACCACCATGTGGGTGCTGGGAACTGAACCTGAGACCTCTTTAAAAGAAACAAATGCTGTTAATCTCTGAGCCATCTCCTCAGCCCCTGGCTATGTTTATTTTTAAGACTGAGTATTTCTGAGGTTTGCAAATGTTAAAAGGCCTTCTCTTCCAAAGTCAAAGCCATACGACACCGTTGTTAGTTACATGGATGGAGAGTTATGTAGGAGGTGGTATACAGAGGAAGAATTCTAAATAGTCTCAATGTTCCACATGCAAATGGTTCTTCCCCATTCACATCATGATCGAAGTCTGTGTGTATGTGCAGGGGTATGTGTGAGTGCTCACATGGAGAAACTTGAGCCGTTGTTCCTCAGGGGCTATCCACCCGATTTTTTGAGACAGAATGCATTGGTCGAGAACCCACAAGTAGGCTAGGTTGGCCAGTCAGCAAGCCTGAGATGCCTCTAAAATGCTGTGGTTACAGGACAGGTGTTTTCTACTGTGCCTAGGCTGTTTGTTCTTGTTCTGCAGGGGGTTGAACTCAGGTCCTCATGCTTGAAAGGCAAGCACTTTACTGACTGAGTTATCTTCCCAGTCCCAAACCGCAATCTAATTTGAGGCTTACCATTAGTGACCTCAGGAGTCAGTGACTTCAAACAGCAGAACTGCCTGAGAGTTTTATTCTCTTCCGCTTGCTACCCAAATCAGGGACATAACTGCACTGTGGTCCAACAAGCTACTGTGAACCTACACAGCAAAGATATTAGGAGAGGATGGGCGTGGCGGTGCATGCCTCTGAACCCAGCATGCAGGAGACTGAATGAGGCAGGAAGACCAGCCATGAGCTGGAGACCAGTCTGGACTACATGGTGATTTTTGAGGTGAGATTGGGCTACAGAGCAAGACCCTACAACAACTTCATCATCATCATCATCATCATTAACAACAACAACAACACATTTAGGTGAGGTTGACATTTTATTTGTTTGTGGTGCTCAGGAGGAAGCTCAGGACCTGGCACATGCTCCCACAGCACTGCTCCGCTGATCTAAATGTCCAGGCCACTCATAAAACACACTTCAAATGAAGAATGGGCACAGCAACTTCGAGCCGATCTGATTTCAGCAAGCTCTGGCTAGCAGGACTTAGTATAATGCAGCCTTTTGGTTAGCTATACATGGAGTCTTAAAAGATGACCATGTCATTTTATTCCCTGGAGCAGTTTACTGATTAGTATCCTTGTAATCCAAAGGAATTACTATTTGTCAAAAGAAGATCCCCTCCTGTGAATGAGCCCTTTTGAAACTGGCTGCACAGAGTCTGGATAAACAGCAATAGGTCCCGTTGGTCTGATATTGGTCTCAAACTATTGCTACACCATTTAATGTAATGAAAGAACACACTACGTGCTAAGAAACACATCTAAAAATAAAAAGGTCCTTGGTAAGATCGCTCATAGGCTAACTAGAATTCAGCCCCGTAAAAGCTTTTCAGTCATTCACAAACCCACAGGCTGAATTTGAGAGGTGCGGTAAGAAAGCACACAGGTTACTGCAGTGTAGCCCGGCCTGCAGAGCGGGTTTCCAGACGTGGCCTCTTGCTGCTGCGCTGTTCTTCCTTTGTGGACCTGCGCCTCAATACACCGTCTAGCATGCAAGAATAACTTCATGTCAGGAAGTACACATAGAACCCACGGGGAGGAACAGGTATTTATCTTGACCTTCAACTTCTCACCCATCTCAATATCACACACTCTAAAATGCATTCAGCCTATACTAATTCCAGACAACTCAGATAATACAGTATCTGATAACCCTCGAAACCTGGATTCACTCAGCAATGGAGAGCAGCTAACTCACATAGCTTTCTTGGGGTGGGGAGTACACAGGAGCCATTATTCATCTGGAACAGACACAGACTCACATTCGCAGGCCCCCAGCATGGGAAGCTGGCCTTTGGAAGGGGCATGCCAGGAGAAGGACTGGTTTCAAGCTCTTCCTGGCTTTTGGTCTCTACAGTTTTACTGGCACCATAATGTACATGTGCTTAAAAGATATTGAGAGTGGAAAACCCAATTTATTTGGCATAGTTACACACCCATGAATCCACTAGTGAATATACTCACCACCTGCAAGTACCCCCCCACCTTCCAGCTTCTTGATAAAAACTGCCACAACTGTCTTCCCAAGGGGAGCTGGAAGCCCTGCCCCTGACTTCTTGCGCTATATTTGAAACACTCCAAATATATTTATGATTTAGCTAGATAATAAAACAAACATTTAGGAATCAACTATCCCCCAAAGAATTGTCTTGCTCAAATCGGCAGCAACTTTGTATGGGGACAGTAGAACATGCTGTCCAAAACAACTATGTCACCACTAATGCCCACATGCTGCCCCATCTCATTCCCCTACTTCAGCCCACTCAGAGGAACTTGTTTATTAGTTCACTGGTTCTTAGACATTGGCTTCCTCTTGGATACTCTACAGGTTGTTCTGGGCAGTTTACTGTCTTCATTCAACACTATATTTCTAATTCATCCATACTGAAGAATGTAGCCATGGACCATTTATTTTACTTCCTAGTAGGTCCCTACTGTGTGAATAGAATATACTACATACTTCTTTAAAAATCCTATCTCTTAAGAAAAACTTTCATGTCATTCCCAGCATCTGTTCTGAAGATCAGAATTACATTGAACTGTCTGTCACCTACACTCGACACAAGTTCCTCCAGGGCTTGCAAGCCAACTTGCTGGGCCATGATCATCTCTAATCTAGACAATGTATCTTAAAGTTCCAGTCCTGCCCACCACACACGGGAACTCTGAACGCCCATCTTTTGCTCCCTCGGCCCTTGGCGCCCTTGGTAGTGTTCTCAGAAAATGCCTGAGTCTGCTCACAGATTACCAGACATTTGTTTCTGCTGCTGTGAAGTCCTTGCTAGGAATGTATCCTAATTTCTCAATTACTTTCTTTTATAATCAGCATTCATCTGTGTCCTAAACAGGATTTATATGTGATATATATACAACTCTAGGTCATAAAAACATGTAGTATTTTTTTTTTTAACCAAAAAACCCACCTCTTTAAATTATCTTTTCCTCTACTCTTTAATTCTTGGAATTTAGTCTTGAATATTAGTGAGGTAAGAGCTCGTCATCATGTTCTACACGAACAACCCACTTGCCAGCAGTATGCATTAGGTAGTCTATCGTTAAGCTGTATCCCTCCAATACCAACGGTGTGCCCATTATACAACAGCAGCTTACCTCACCTACTGGCTAACAACTATTTTTCATTTTTCCAAATTTCATTTTCAAGATTCCTTACCCTTTTCCTAATACTTTGTTCACATTTCGCCCATGCTGCCCCCCAAATCACAATCTTCCTGCCTCAGTTTCCCTGGAGCAGGGATTAGATGCATGTCAGCACATGTAGCGTCACTTTTCAATGGGCTCGTTCACTTATATTTTACACTGTCTGATGGTTCCAGCACAAGTCCCCAGGTCTAACTGTGAGCTGACTGCTACCGTCCACCCCATGCATGGAGTCCACTCTCCTTCACACCTCCTGGCCTGACAGTTATGTCAACTCTCATCCCCTGTGAGTCCAGCTGATGCTGCTTCCTCTTAAAGACTGCATTTGCTTCTGTTGGGGGACCCCCAGGAGCACCTGAGAGCAGCCTCAGGCTCAGTGCCCACTCTCAGCAGATCCCCACTGCCTTGCACGGTAGCTTCCACGGCTGTGCTGGATCACCTCTGACTTTACTGTTTGCTTACTTTGCTACTCAGATTCTAGCAACATGTTCCTCTTACCTCCAGTTCTTGAGGGGAATATGGGTCCCTGAACATTTCCTTTATTGTCTTCAAAGTCTAGTATCTATTTTTAAAAAGTACTTTACTTAGCTCTGTTTCTACAGCGTAGGATACTTGGGGCAGGCCTTCACAGTCCCACCTCCCTTCTGTGTGTGCTCCTGCCAGTCACTGAGATTGCATGAAGCGGTATGTCTCCTTCCCATTTCGACAGCTAGTCAAAAGGATATGACCTGGAGTCAAGCTTCCGTGTGGCAACAGAGCTGAAGTCTGGCTTTTATTTCTCTGATTCTCCTGCCTGTTTCTTCACAGATTTGAAGTTGAAAAGGGAACCACATACTGTATGAGTCCATGTATATAAAATGGCCAGCAGAGACAATGCACAAAGCTGCTAGCATTGACTAGGCTGGGGTGGGAAGGACAGGGCGACTATAACGAGTATCATGTTTCTTTGTACAGTAATGAAACACTCTGGGGTTATACTGTGGTGATGGGTACACAGCTCTGAACGTACAAAGGCCATGTAGTTCTGTTCTTTAAAGGGGTGAATTCATGGTAAGTAAATTATACACTATGAAGCTGTTCCATAATTGAAAAGGAGGTAAGAATGTTATTTATTGGTATAAAATTCTTGTTTAAAAATGCAACAAAACATAAGCTGAGCTTAATGACTGTCACAAGAAGCAAACAGTTGCCTGGGTGGTTAAGAACACTGCCTGACAACCAGCAGCCTTCCTTGTCCTCACGAGATGTCACGGGCAGGCATGTCTTCCTCCTCCTGAGATGCAGCTGTGGGAAATCCTGGACACAGGCCTTAGCTGATTTTAAGTGGCACATGTCTTCTGTTCCGTGGCTTGCCTCTGCACCCTCTTAGTGGGATCTTTTGATGGACAGATGCTCTTAATTTTACCAGACAAAGGCGTGTGTCTTTCTACCGCTGGCACTCGACATTCCCTCCCTAAGCACAGCAGCACTTTCACTGCCCCTCAAACACCTTGGTTCAGGGTCACATCTTTGATCTGAATTCTTAATGAAATTTTAACAAGAAATGCGGTAGTTATGTATTTTTCCAGATTGTAAATAATAAAAAAGACATTCATGTTTTCCTAGAGACCTTTATATTTCTGGATTTTTCAAGATAATCAAATCATTACTGATCTTAAGAAAATATACAAGAGTCTCCATTTACTTAGAACCCAGACAGTCACAACTGAGCTACTATTTTAAAATAAAACTGCAAAGCATCATGTTCAAAATCATACACTTATGGAATTGTAAGAATTCTCAAAGATATATTACATTCAATATGGTTTTTATTAATATGTAAATATTAAATGTGAAGACTAGTGACTCACTTGTGGTAATTTTTGCTTAATTCAGTTATTGAAATAAACAGAATCCTTCTATTCTCTGAACATTCTGGGTCACTGTGGTTTTATTCTAGAAGAACACAGACACCCCTCCCTCATCACTAGCCCTCACGCATCTGCACTCCCTCTCACTCCCAAGAAGCTTTTGCACTGGTGTAGAAGAGGGTTGTTGCTCACTGTTTCAAACAAAGGCAATTTGCACCTTCAGTTTTCTAGTCCTATGTTTACTGGAGTAGTCAGCAAGCAGCAAGCTCCTCACATACAGAACACATGTTTACGAACAAACTGAACGAAGGTACCTAATCTGTAGAAGAGAATATCCTGAATCTACCCACACACGGCTCCATCACCTGATCCTAGAAACTCGCTCACAGCCTCAACAGAACACTTAGAAATACTTACTTTCTCTCCTTTCAGGCTCATTTGGATCAAGACTGTAAGCTTCAGATGGGTTCAACTGCCACTGTGGAGGTACAAATATTTTATTTGTATGTTTAAAATGAGTTAATAAGTGGCATATCAATACCTTGCTTTCTATTACTATAATAGCTTTTAAAAGTACAAGAAATGGAGTTAATGTGTCTATGTCTACATGCCTAATAAGGCATTGACCTTGAATGACCTGGACTCTAACAATCCTTTACACTGCTTCTGTAGGTGATAAACAAAAGACTAGAGAAGTGTAGTAATTGCCCCAGGTCACAAAGACAGAATTAGAATCTGCATGCCCATGATGAGCAACTCAGCCTATCTCCAGGACCTTCTATGGTGTTTCTTTTGTTTTTAATGTTTGTTACTATTGTTAGTTTTATTATTTTTAATCTTTATACCACCAGTGTTATCAGAGTTCCTGGTGTTTGACAAACATGTAGTTAGATAATATTAGAGCAAGAAATGTTTCTGAATCACATTTCCCTGCAACAGTCTTCCCACGGTTCAGTATGAGAATTTGAATGCAGCATTACTTAGATTTTTGTCCTCCATCAAGGCTGCCACAGCATGATGTCAGCCAAGCTTGGCCAAAAGGGCTTGAGAGGAGTGAGGTGCATGTTAGCAAAGAGGGAATCCACCAGGCAGTCTCATCAGATGATTTGGCGTCAGTACTCTGGGTTGTACGGATATTCTTTTATAATCACTGTCGTCTTAGGCAGCAGGCAGGCAGGCCTCCAGTTCCTGTTGAAGCTGAAGGTGGTGGCCATCTTCTCCTCACTCACCTGGAAGTCAAAGTTCTCATGGATGTGTGCTGCTGACACAGACTTGGGGATCACTACCACATTCCTTTGGATATGGAACCAAATCAGAAGCTGGGCTGAGCTTTTTCTTGTGCTTTGTAGTCTCTTTATTCTTGGGGTCCTCTAGTACTTAATGGTCCTCTGGCTTGGCCCAAGACCTGTCTAGAGAGCCCAGGGGGCTATATACAGGCTATGATGCTGATGACCCTGGAGTGGCAGTACTAGGTCAGCCTGTCCAAGTTGAGGTACGGGTAGCAAGCAGCCTGGTTGGTCACTGGCTTATGTTTAAGTCCAGGCTTATTCAGGAGCCTTTTAATCTGGAAGTATTTGAAGTTGGAAACACCCAGGGCTTTTACTAACTTTGCATTCACCAGTTCTTCCCTGACCTCCCATGTATCCAAAAAGGTTATTTTACTGGTGAGAACATTGACTTTATCATTTTAGGGGAACAACTCCTTTCTGGGTTGAAGTCCCTGTGACCAGTGAATAAGACAGAGGTCCAGATAGTCCAGTTCCAGCGAGCGTTGGTGGTATATTGGTGAGCATAGCTGCCTTCCAGATAGTCCAGTTCCAGAATGTCATCTGAAAGGCTCTGTTCAGCAGTGTTCTCTCAAAGCAGGTAGACCACAACTTGCTGCTGCTGAAGAAGTCCTCTCACTCCCAACTTTCTCTCTGATCTTATCTTGGATGGTGTCTCCCGCTTCATCCTTGTTATAATAAGCATATTCAGTCAATATGGCAATATCCTGCACTAATGGCCACCTTCTTGGCTTTCTTGACTTGGTCTGGGGGAGACTTCTAGGTACCCAGATCCACAATGGCCATCTTGGCTTTGGTACTGAGCTCCATGAAGGTGCCATGGTTGCTGCAGGAATTTTTCTGAGAGAGTAGATATCTGCGTTGTTTGTTGTTGTTGGTGGTGTGTGTGTATGTGCTATTCAGATGTGGATGTGTGAGTGCCCACGGACTGGTCAGTGGAGATGTCAAGCATCCTCTTCTATTGCTCTTCACCTCATTCCCTTGAGAGAGAGTGTCTCACTGAACCTGAAGCTGGTTTTCAGCCGGGCTGGTAGCCAGCAATTCTTAGCAAATCTCCTCCTGTCTGGGTGTCTTCCTTCCCCCGCTCTGTGGTTACAGGCGCAAGTGGTTATGCCCGTGTTTATGTTAACCCCAGAGACCCAAACCCAGGTCCTCAGGTCCGCACAGCAGGCACTATTTCCCCAGAGCCACCTCCCCAGCCCCCTACGGAACTTTACACTAGCTACAGAAGGCCTGAGCACTAGAGAGTACAAGTGTGACCCGGACTTCGGTCACTGCTAAAACAGGATGGCTCGGGTTAGCCCTGGAGACAAGAGGATCAGGAGGGGACGGCTCAGTGGGTAAAGAGCTGGCTACGAGCATGAGGAACTGAGCTCAGACCCCCAGGACCCACAGAAATGCCAGGCACAGTGGTGGGTGACTGGAACCCTGGACTGGGGATGAAGAGGTGTGTGGATCCTGGGGGTTCACTAGCCAGCCTGTCTAGCTGAAATAGTGAGCTCCAGATTCAGTAAGAGAGCCTGTCTCAAAAATCAAGACGGAGAGTAATAGAGAAAGATGACATTAACCTCTGACCTGGATATGACCACTCATCAGTGAGCTCACACATACATGCATGTGTATAACACACACACACACACACACACACACACACACACACACACACACACACACAGAGAGAGAGAGAGAGGAGGGAGGGATTTTTAAAAGTTGTGTGGGAAGTACATAAGAAATTTTTTTTAAAAGGCATGTTTTGAAATACACCAAACCACCCAAATCTATTAATTTGAGCAAAATAGTATAAATCAGTAACTCTAAACTTTCATTTCAAAATATTTATATAAAGCCTTTTTTTAACTATAAAAATGGAGATAATGTAGTTATCCAACAGAGGAAATAATTATATAAGCTAGGTATTCAGGCTGAATATGTTAGATTACTAAATGTAATTTTTTAGGAACTTCTAACAGCACAGAAAATACATTAACATGTTGACAGTGGCATTTATAAGTTATAGAATAATATACATTTTGAAGTGTTCCTAGTCTTCTACAGTGAGCACACATTGCTTTAATAACATATACATGTGGATACAGTACATGTGTGCTCTGGCTCCCTGTGCTCAAACTGTATAGAACAGGAACATAAGGCTGAAACTTTAAAACAGTGCTTTATAAACTTGGCTACAGTGTTTATAAATTCTAGACTGTTAATGGGGCGCTAGATGCCCGGATTAGCCCCTGGCTGACACAAAGGACTCTGTGATCCTGGACAAGATGGTTCTACCAGAGCACCACTTGGATAAGCGGGAACTTTGGTTGGATCCTTAGATTCAGCAGCAAGGTCACACTTTATTTCTTGATTCTGTGGCTCTATCATGCTCATTGCATTATGGAAACAGAGGGTAATTTGATATCATGTCAACAATCTCTGGGAAAATTTTTTTTTTCAGAATTCTTACAACTTTTTTGTATGCTTGAGAGTATTCCAAAGTAAAACACATTTTTAAAGCCTAAGTAGAAAGAAGTATGTTAAAAATTCTGAGTTTTCCATGAACCATCTCTATCCCCTTTAAAAATTATTAAGTATGATATGTGCACATGAGAATGTGCGGACAGTGTTTGTGTGGTGTGATTACTTAAATTAGTTGTACCTCTATCCAAGCCCAGAGAGATGGTGAGCCACCAGAGGGCATTGAGACTTGGAAGGCCAATGTACAACTTTGCAAAGTTGTAAACACATATGCAGGGCAGAGATCCTTGGTAAACTTGTACACATAAAAATAAACTCAGTGATGAGAACTCACTCACAGTCCTCAAAAGGTGAGAATCACTAATTCACAATATTCAGCAGGTTACCAAACGGGAATACACTTTGGGAAAAGCGCATGTACTTACTGTAAATTTGCGAACGCCCTCAAGCTCCCCAAACTTCATATAGGAGATGTCTGCTTTCTTTTTTCCAACATCTACATCCCCAGCATAGATCTGCTTTATGCCTGCACCTTTAATTAAAGGCACACATTCATCACAAGGGCATTTTGTCACAAAAATCATACTGCGTTCTTCTGGCTTTATATCTTGACACCTATAAAAAAATTATAAAACATTACAAAAACTGTTATGAAAGAGCAAGTAAGTCTTTAGGGACATCCTTAAACTTTAAATTTGAGGTTTTGCAAAAAAAATATTTGTAGTATTACAAATAATGATCAAGTCATATTCTTGCTAAATTGGCAAATGTTCAAAGTATGCAAAAATATGACAATCCTTAGAACTGAAACTCTTTGATTGCAAGGTAAGACATCAGTATGTTTGACATCCTATTACAAAGGAAGTGAGAGCAGAGGATGGGGGAGGGAGAAATGAGTGTGCACACACGGGGAGGTCCTTTCTGCATATGCACTTCATCATGGTACTGGAGAACGGGGTTCAGTTCCCCAAGAGCTGAGTAACTGTCTATTAGCCCTTAAGCCATCACAGCAGCTGGAAGATTGAACTCTACTGGATATACACTCCCTTAATGAATAAGTACTAATGCCGAGTTTCGAGCTACAGTTCTCTTAGCCTTCCCCAATCATAACTTTTTAAAATGTTTTGGCTATGATGCCTCAAACCTTTGTGGAGAGTAAACAAGGAAAGCTGCACAGAAGACGACGGGAGGCTAGCAGAGGATCTTCTCGGTGCATGCTGGGGTAGCCTAGACTAGAGAGGCTCTCGTGTGGCTGCAGGTCTGGCGCTAACTCTGCTCAGCCAGCTGTCTTCAGTCATGCACCTTCTAGATCTGCCTTGCTGAGTTTCGTTCCTGCTCCCCGAGGACAGCGACTGATACAGGTGCTGTGTGCAGACACCCCATCTGCTACCTCAGGCCCTGCCATCACACCTGTCTCCCTCTACACTCTAACTGGAATACGAATGTGTCTGAGCACATGAGAATTCCTCTGCTAGGGTGGTTTCCCTTCAAGCCATCACCCCAGCCATCCTCTCCAGCTCAGCTCAGATGCCAGCTTTTCCAGAGAACTCCCCTCTTGTCCATGACAGCTGGATGCCCACAACACTGCCTGCCTCACAGAGTCCTGCACATGAGGAGGATAGAAGCTATCTGCATGTGTGGTTTGAGCTCATGTCTTCAGAAAGTGGGGAACTTCTGGGAGGTGGATCCTCATGGAGAAGGCCTGTCACTGGTGCCGGGCCTCAAGGCTTCTCGCCAAGGCCCATTCTTTCTGTCCACTCTGCTTCCCGACTAGACACAACTAAGCAGCCTCCTCATGCTCTGGTTGCCGTGCCTTCGAGCTGGGGACCACAATCGACCCTTTCTATAAAGACGCTTCTGGTCAGCAACAAGAAAAAGAACTAATACCACATGCCCTGCACTGGAGCACCCCCGGGACAGGAGCCTTACTAAGGACAGGAGTCTTACTCAGCCTTTAGTACTCTAGCCCCACCCCGTTAACGGTAGATGCTGAGAAGTTTAGCAAACACAAGCTAACCTCCGAAGGAGGGAGCTCTAGCTGTAATCTCTGACAGAACACTTTCAAAGTTTCTTCTAGAATTTCATATACGAGTTCAATAGTTACCTCATTCTCCTCGCCGCTCCAATCCCTCCCACTCCTCAGATTCCTGGTCTCTTATTCTTTAACTCTGTGTGTGTGTGTGTGTGTGTGTGTGTGTGTGTGTGTGTGTGTATGTGCACATGTGTGTTTATAAATACAACCTGCTGAGATCATTTAGCGTTGTGCATGTGTGTTTGGGGCTGAGCTCTTAGGATTGGCCAGCCCATCGGAGAGCTCACCCTGGAGAAGACTCATTCTCCTTCTCTCCACAGCTATCACTTGCCTGTTGCTCTTCTAGGGGATAAAGCCATGTGAGAATTTCCCCATCCACTGTGACATGTCAGCTGGTGGTATCATTGTTCGAGTCTCATTTAGGCAACAATATTATTGGGATTTCCTGGGTGCAGCTTCCCTGTCATATATAGAAAACACTGTCTCAAGCAGATATCCTGCCCTGGTCCTCTCACACAGAGGCTCTTTAAAACCCTTAGTTCATAATAAAATCTGTATGAGTGTGGCTAGTCTTATGTCAACCTGACATAAGCTGGAGTCACTGGAGAGGGGGGAGCAGCAGCTGAAAAGTGTCTTTAAGTTTAGGCTGTAGGTAAACCTGTAAGGCAGTTTCTGAATTCATAACTAAGGGGGAGGGCCCAGCCTACTGTGGGTGGGGCTACCCCTGGGCTGATGGTCTGGGTCCTGTAAGAAAACAGACTGAGCAAGCCATGGGAAACAAGCCAGTAAGCAGCACTCCTCCATGGCCTCTGCATCAGCTCCTGCCTCTAGGATACTGCCCTGTTTGAGTTTCTGTCCTGACTTCCTTCAGTGATAGACTGTGATGTAGAAGTATAAGCCAAATAAACCCTTTCCTCCCCAACTTGATTTTGGTGATGATGTTTCATCACAGCAATAGTAACCCTAACCAAGACAGCATTTCATAAATGTATGGGCTCTAAATTTAGAAAACAAAGAAGATACTAACATCCAAAAAGAAATAGCTGGGCAAGTCCCCAAAGACAAACTTCCAATAGTTTCCTCCTAGGGAGAGGAAGAAGAAAGAATTTCTGAAGAACAGAAAGAGCTGGCAAGTCCATGACCATAGACTCCAGTCCCGGAGCAGGACCAAGCTTTATCACAATGCTATTTCTGACAATACTGCTTAAGAGTTTAAAAGACAAACAGATGACAACAAAAGGAAACTAGCTCCAACCACCCTCTGCTGTATCTTAAAGGAAAGAAAGCGAAAAGCATCTCATACCTAAACGTCAAAGCATTCTGCTCGGCATGTATGATGTATCTGAACTTGCGTATCTCTCTGTCCTTGTGCTTGTCGTCCATGTGGGGGAAGTCAGCGTACTCAGAGCCCACGGGAAAGGCATTGTAACCACATCCTACGAAGTACATAGCTCCAGTTCCGTCACAGCTTCTCTGCAAGGGTCAGCAGGAGCACGGTGTGAGTTTGAGAGTTCGGAAAGGCTTTGCCCTCGTACTTCATGGAAAGAGCTTCACTCCATTTCTATAACAAATGGAGCCATCGGGAACTACAAGATCTGAGCTGGAGAAATGGCTGACCTGGTAAAGGTGTGTGCCCCCAACCTGGTGAGCCGAGTTTGATCCCTGGAATCAATGGTGAAAGGAGACAATGGCTGTGTGTCTTGATGCACATACATCCCCTCCCACAAATAAAATTTAAAAACTGAAATAGAAATATAGCATCAGTTCATCTTATAGCTGCCTTCCTCAGAGGTGACCTCAAGGTTGTCTTTGATGTTAGCAGTTAACACCATTGTCTTTAACTTATAAATCATTTTACTTGATCTAGACAGTTCTCTCCAAACAAATCATAAATTCTAGGGATCAAAAGCCATGTTTCGTACCTTGTTTCCAAACCCCCTTGACACACATTAGATTGCTATGCACACAGAAGTATTGTTAAGTAACTGAGAATTTTTTACCCACTGTATTGCACTATAAGTCAGAAAACATAAAAATATTTTGAACCATTTCTGTTGTTGGGCTAAAAATGTGCTATTGTGATTGAGTTGGAAAATAAAAAATATACCTTCCTTTAACTTTCTATGTTTCTGAGCATCTGTCATATGTACACACGATCATAGAACTCACCTGGGTGCCTCTTTCTTATTTCTCTTGAGCAAGGTCATATTAGTGTTAATATCAATGCTGTATCAACTCCTGGGATGACAATTTCTCACCGACAGTGTCTACAATGATTTAGAATATGCTACAGGTCTCACTAAGTATGCAAGTGGTACCAACAACAGACCTATCACTGACTGTAAAGTTTAGTAAGAATCATTATCTGAGCCAACAAAAGTTGTCAAGTATTTCACCAATAAGTGTGTCTTGACTATTTACCAAATGTCAATCATCATGCAGATCTCATTCTTTTTTTTAACTTGTGTATGTGCACATGTATGCATGCAGGTACTCACTGGAGATCAAACTTGGGGCCTCAAAAATGCAGAGCCAGCATTCCACAACTGAACAATATTCTCAGTACTACCTCCATCGCTTAACCTTAAAACTACCTGGAGAGTAATGTTACCGTCCCTATTTCCCTCACAATAACTGAGGTCAAGAAGGATTAACTACTCAAGGTCGAGAGTTAGCCGCACAGCCGAAGCGAACCTCACACACTATCTATCCTCCAGGTAAAGGGATATCATTCTCCACAAGGCAGTGCAGATGTAGACAGATGCTGAATGGCTTGCTGAGCAGCCTCTTAAACATCAACCAGAGTTCCAGCCACAGGCCAGGTGTGTGGGGCTCATAACACAGTTGCAACCCAAACAGCTGCCTGCATGAGTCTTACCTGGGACAGGTTGGGGACTGGCCACAACTCTAATTGGGGATATGTGTCATGTAGGAATCACACCAAATGCTATGAGAACTTTAGGCAGAGAAGCTATTCTAGTAGGAGTTCAGGGTGGTAGTTATTAAATGCTTCTTAATTCTGGTTCCTCCTAACCCATATAACTCTGAGTTCTCATCACCCTTTTTGTTTACCTAATCTCTATTTCCCTCTTGTCCAACTTCTTTTCATAATGCAAATCGTTTTTTTTTCTCGTAGAATATTCTTGGACTGTACTGTCCCATACAATAGCCATTAGGCACACATGGCTAGTCTAAACTGGATGTTGCAAATACAAAATGTACACAGAAGTTTGAGAACTAATATTAAAATATAGACTATTTCATTATTCATTTTATGTTGTTTATATGTTGAAATGTTTTGATTTTTTTTTTTTTTTTTTTTTTTTTGGTTTTTCGAGACAGGGTTTCTCTGTGTAGCTTTGCGCCTTTCCTGGAACTCACTTGGTAGTCCAGGCTGGCCTCGAACTCACAGAGATCCGCCTGGCTCTGCCTCCCGAGTGCTGGGATTAAAGGCGTGCACCACCACCGCCCGGCTGTGTTTTGATATTTTTGACTAAATACATATATTATATTTTGCTTATTTTAACTGATCCATGAAAATATCACAACTATCTATGTGGTACATGTGATACTTAAGTCAGATATAACCTATCTATAAATTACCTACTGTTTATGATGACAATATTCAAACTCCTTTTTCCTTGGACTATACACACATGATTATCATCTAGTCACCCTGTAACGGCACACCAGAACTTGGCACTCCTCACTCCTCTCTAACAGTAATTTAGTCCTCACAATCCACCTCCCGTGCCCCACCCGCTGACTTCTCTTCCCAGTCTCTGATAACCACAACTGGACCCTCAACTTCTACTAGCCATTTACATCACACACACGAATGAGATCAAGCTTCTTTTCTGTGCCTGCCTTATTTCACTTAACCTAACAATCTCTAGGTCCGTCCACATTGTTGCAGATGACAGAATTCATTCTTTCCATACATCAACAGCACCCCATTGTGCATGTGTACATTTGTTTATCTATTAATTGGCAGATAGACACTTAGGTTGATTCCAATTCTTTCCTCCATCATTTATCTTTACTTACCTATTTCACTTTTTAAACACAGCTCCTAGAAAGTTTCAAGTTACTTATATGGATGGCTTTAATTTCTACTGGTTAGTGTTATGGGAGCATGCACATTCCTGAAGGATATCCTGAAGGATACAGCCCACATTCTTCACAGGTCTACAGTATTCCCCATGGTCCAGCATAATACTACGCTCACTTTACACAGGATTTTGGCACCTAGTATGCCAAGTCACATCTATTTTGCCATCATCTCTCTCTGCCTGCCTCTGCACATTTTCCTCCTGATCTGCCTGACTTCCTCTGATGACCTCTCACTCATTCTTCAAGACTAACAGCACTCCAAAATTGCAGGAGAATCTCCCACATTTCTGGAGGCAGAGTACAGGTCCTCCTCTGTGAGCTAGCAATATCAGTCATTACACTTACATACCAGGGTCTTTTGGACTTCTTTGTCTCCCTCACTCCCTACGAGGCCATGCAAGCAGAGAATGTGGTATTTAAGTCCCCATTGTTGGGCTGGTGAGCTGGCTCAGCCAGCAAAGCTCCTGCTGTCATCCCCGAGACCCATATGGTGGAAGGAGAGAAATGACTATCGGAAGTTCATTCTATCCAAGTGTGTGCTGTGACTTACATGCCCCCTCCTAAAGAAAAGTGTAATTTGGAGGCCTGGAACTGAGAATTGGGTCCACTGCTGTAACAAACCCAACTATGTAGTTCTTAGGCCTTTAAAGTTGGTCTGTTGGAGGAAGTGGGAAAGTTTATAGGCTAGAAAACTCCTTGACTACTGTAAGTAGAGCATGACAGGGTATTCGGGTGGGACCTGGGAAGACAGAAGTGCTCTCTCTGAAAAACAAAAGTGCTAAAAACCCCAAAAACAAACAAACAAACAAATAAACAAGGAGTGAAGGCCTGGCTCACAGGCTTCCTGTGGATCAAGGACTCTATCAGGAGCTGGGCCATGTGCTGACATGTGATATCATAGAAAAACAGTCCGGCTGCTTTCTTCCCATTTCCTGAGAACTTGACTGATTCTGAATGTAAAGACATGACACATAATGGGTTTGATGGAGGTTATTTCAAGACTCGGGAAGGCATTCAAGCTGTGTATGGTTACTGCTCACTGCTCTCATCCGTGAGAAAGTGCAAAGGATAAGAACATGACGCTTGGGAAAGTGAGTAAGTTTACAGCTTAGGAGATGACAAAGCAGCAGTGGTTGGTAGAGAAGCCTGGTGTACTGGTTACATTTTATAGTCAACAGCAAAACTAGAGGCACCTGGAATAAGAACCTCACCTGAAGAACAGCCTCTATCACACTGGTCTAGGGCACATCTGTGGGACATTTTCTTGACTGCTAATTGATGGAGCAGGCTACAGCCTGCTGTGCACAGTGCATCCTTAGGCAGGTGATGCTGGGCTATGTCGGAAAGCTAGATGAGCCTGAGACAGAAAGCTAGGAGTAAGCGCCATTCCTCCGTGGTGTCTACTGCCGTCCTACCTGGAGTTCTTGCCCTGACTGCTCTCAATGATGGAGTGTGACCTGAAAGTGAAGCTGAATAAACCACTTCCTCTCTTTAAAAAAAAAAAAAAAGCAATTAAAATGAATTGTCTAGGGCTCACTGTGGCAGTATCCAACTAACTCACAGAAGGTGTTCAATAAATGTTTGCTAATGGATGAACCTTGAAAATTGTTGAGGGAAGGGCAGATGTTTATACAACTTAATAAAATGCATTAATAGTAAAACATTAATATCGATCAGTCAATATAATCCAACACCTCAGCAGGTTAAACAGCATGAGCTGTAGTGGTTACCACTCAGAGGATGGAGGGAATGATAGATTCAGTCAGTCTGGGCAACAAAATGAGGCCCTGTCTCAAACATCAAAATGAAGCACCTTAAAGACTGACTAAACACAATCCAGGTTAAATATTTAAATAATTCTTTTCATACTTACAGATTTCCCTTCTGCCCAAATGACAGCTCCAACTCCTGTTTTATGATCCTCTGAAAGACAGATGTTTATCTCAGTAAAAATCAATGCTGTCAGTTCCACGCATCCATTTTTCCCAATCATAGAAACACATTTACATCATAAATGGAGCAGCGGCAATCCCTCGTCCCAATACACAAAATTCTCGAGAGAAATCCTTTTAGGTGTGGAATATGGGAATGAGGTACCAAATAACCAGACACGGGAGGGCCACTGTCCACCCTCAGCCATGGTGTCCCTGTGACAACCTCTCCAGTGGCAGTGGCACCCTCAGCTCAGGCTGTAACTGGAACAGCCAGCCTCACAGACTCTCCCCTGACAGGTCAGGATCTAAACAACCACTTCTAACAGATGGTGAAGCTGAGTGAATAAGAAGTTTCTGAAAGAATGGATTTAGTGGAACAATCATGCTCTAGAATCAAGTTTGTCTTTTTCTAACATTTTTTTTTTTACACTCTAATCACAGAAAATTGACTTTATGGAAATGTTTTTGCAAAAAAAAAGTCATATGGAAATTCTATTTAAGGTCTTATTTTTCCCTCTATATTAGGGTGAATTTCAAATTTCTAAAACAAATTTGCATGAATTATAAAAATCATAGCATTTATCACAGCAAGAGACAAAGTAGGTACGTTTACGGAAAAAATCAGAATTATCTGTACCTCTACCAGGGCATTTATACTGCTGAAGACTGAGTACAATTGTCTTCCCCTACAACTTCCTTTAAGCTCAGCTCTCCCATTAAAGTGCATTTACACATCTGGTTTTCCATTACAGACAATACAGAGAGAAGTCCTGCCACTGCTGCATTAAAGACTAGGATACCTTCAAGTTAACTCTAAAAAAGTATGGTTATACAATAAAATTTCTTATTTCTAATTCAAACACATTCAGGTTTTCAAAATTATAGTACACAATATGTATTTTCTGGTAAACATTTTTATACATGATCTCCTTTTTACCTACCAATAGTTAAAATTTCCATTTCTAGATATGGAATTAACTAAAATTTAGTTCTCTTAACCCAACCTAGCTGCCTTTTCTCCATCTCTTTCTGACGCTAAGAATTCCCTAAAAATTGCTGGCGGTGGTGGCACACACCTTTAATCCCAGCACTCGGGAGGCAGAGCCAGGCAGATCTCTGTGGGTTCGAGGCCAGCCTGGTCTACAAAGCAAGATCCAGGACAGGCACCAAAACTACACAGAGAAACCCTGTCTTGAAAAAAACCAAAACCAAAACAAAACAAAACCCCCCAAAAACCAACCTCCGCCCCTCCCCCCCAAAAAAAGCAAAAAAAAAAAAAAAAAAAAAGGAATTCCCTAAAAATGACTTTCATTTGCTGAGTGTCACGTGTACAAAGGATGGGGAAAGGCTGACTGTTGGGTGGTGAAGGGAACGACAGTCCCGACCTCAAGCCGCTAACAGCTGAATGGGGGCACGGCAGGGGTGAGGAAGCCTTGCTAGGAGGAGGTGAACATGACACTGGGGAGTATGTGGCGATGGCTTCCACAGTGTCGGGGGAGAAATCCGGTATCCAAGTTCCCTTCCTTCCTAGAGCTTTACTGTTTAATGCAGGGAATAATATAAATTAATGCTTTATGCTCACTTCTAAGGAAGTGGTGGAAATTATACCCACAATATTATAGCTACCTTTAACATCTAAACCTAAGGAAAGCTGTACTTAATACATGCACAAATAAAAAGCAAGCAAAACAGAAGTTCTCCATATGAAAAGCCGCGTCTCCTGCCCCTTTCCTGTATTAGGATCTGGTCTTGGGAGCTGCGTTCCTGTCTCGGGGGACAGACTGGGCTGTCACTGAAGGAAACAGCCTTTCTCCATCAGCAGCACTTCTACTTTGACAAGGGCTGATTGTAAGAGAGTGTTCACTACCTCTTTTCCAAGCAGGGATGATCCTTGACTTTGTTTTGAGAGGGGATCTTGCTGGAAAACCCAGGCTGGCCTTGAACTTGCAGTCTTCCTGCTTTGGCTTCCCTGAGTGCTAGGATTAAAGGCATGTACCATATCTGTAGTTCTTACAAAATTGTCCCTTATAATCTGATTATTCTTTAGGGTTTTTTTTTTTTTATATACACAGCTTGAAGGAAAGGCTAATTTATGACCACCGAACAGATTCCTGAGGCTCGTTGATGCCTGAAGTCAGAGACTCCTTTAGTTTACTGTTCATGCCTACAGGCACATCTATTTCTTCCTTTCATTGTTAAAATCCTACTTGTGTGTGTACACACATGCATGTGCGTGTCACAGTGCACTCGTAGGAGTCAGAGGACAACTTGTAGGCATTCTCTTCTTCCACAGCATGTGGGGCTTGGGCTGCAACTCAGGCTGTCTAGCTTGGCAAAGGCCCTTGACTCTCGGAGCAGCTGCTGGCCCCTGCGCATGTCAGTTTCTATTACAGTTCTGTGCTAACATTGGCCTTGATCTAAGTGTGCTTCACAGAACACTTGATCAAAAGTGCTGGGTGCCTGATAAAAAGGCTGACTCCTGGCTCTGCTGAAGACCCTGATCAGGAGGAAAGTGGCCAGGGCCAGGGACCTGCACTGTCCACAGCTGCTTTCTGATGCTTTGCCACACTAACATCTGGCTCACGGAGCAAATGAGAACAGCTTTTTTTGGGTTACTCCTGCCTATTTTATCTTCAACACCATGCCTACAGAGCACTGTCCCAGCCAGAATGGGGAGTGGCTGCAGGAACAGCATAACACATCTTATTTTCTTAACATCCCTCAATTCTAGATTCCTTTACACTTTCCCCACGGGCTTTAATGATTATGAACTCTGTGTGTATATGTGGTGTGTGCCTGTGGAGGTCAGATGCTGATGTTGGGTGTTGCATACTTTTCACCTTACTTAGGAGAGATGGTCTCTCACCGGAACTTATCGGCTGGACTGCCTGGCCGATCTTGGTTCAGCTGCAGCCCTGGGGTTAATAACACTTGTGGCCATAGCCTGCTCTCTGGGTGGGTGCTGGCTGGGTTTGCTGGGGACCCAAACTCAGGTCTTCACACTCGCACAGCTAGCACTTTACCTGCTGAGCTATTTGCCCAGCCCGTGAACCACTCATTGTGACTACGAAAGGATCCCCCGTTTAATAAACACTCTCTAGTTCGCAGGGAAATAGTGATTATGCCAGTGGTTCTCCCCTGGAAGAGCTCACATGGGCAAGTGATAGTCAAATTGCATCCTAACTAGGAGTTGAGGTCCAGAACCTTCCCCTGCAAAAAAAATCCACTGTCAAAAACTGTTCCTTGAAAAACCTTTTAAATCAAATGTACCAGCATGGATTTATATATAAAACTGAATAGTAAGTGGACACAGGTATAATACAAAACGTAATTTATAGTAGAGTATATAAACTCTACAGACTTTGTCAACCCTGAGGAACATCAGAACACCTTGCAGAACTTTTCAAGACCTAGGCTGTACCCAGTTGAGTGGGTCTGGGTGGTTTGAACATCTGTACCTTTTAAGGTTTCCATGGAGAGTCTGTACATGGTTGGTTGAGATCCTCCATTCCGTTTACTCGACCTGAGGTCTTTTAAAGACCAGTGCCATCTGTACAGGCCTTTCTGATTTTCCTTCTCTTCTCCTCCTTTCTTGGGATAGTTAAGTTTCTGGGCTGGGGTGTGGCTCAGGTGGTGGAGTGCTTGCCTAGCGTGCATGAGGCCCTAGGTTTCTTTCATCTTCAGCACAGCACCAATCAGGTCCAGGAAGTGCATGCTTGTAATTCCAACACTTGAGAAGTGGAGGTAGGAGGGCCAGAAGTTCAAGGTCATCCTCAGCTACATAGGGAGCTTGGACTGCATAGGACCCTATCTAATAAATAAATAAATGAATAAATAAATAAATAAGTCCTGCTATAGCATGTGTCCCAAATAAGTCTTACTTTACCATTTCTCTCATCTGGACTCCCCTAATTAATCCAAAGTTGAATTTTAAAAAGTGGTAATTCTACACTATAAAGCATTAGGTAAGATATGAAAATAATGTTCAGATGCTACATTTTATCAAAATAAAGACCATCACTAAGTAATATTTTCCTTTTACACATGTACAACAGAGTAAGATTGCTTAAGTTGCTGACAGACTCATACAACGAGAAAACCCAGTAATAGCATTCTTTTATCTTGATTTTTTTTTTCCTTCTAAATTTGTGCTTTCAAATTCCCAGAATTCTAACTTTCCAGCACCCACATGGTGGCTTACAACCAACCGTCCATGTCTCCAGTTCCACAGGGTCCAACAGCCTCTTCTGGGCTCTGAGGGCACCGGGCACAAGGTGCTGCACAAACATACATGCAGACAAAACACTAATGTACATTAAAAAATCTTTTAAAAAAACCGCATATGAACAAAAGGACTATGGAGTAAATAAAAATGAGAGATTTTAGTTTTCTTTTTGTGCCATCTTTGCTGAAGGACTTAGTAACTAGTGGAATCATGCATGCAAGAAACAAGCAGGATGCAGGTCTCCTGGTCCTGGTTTGTAAATGCAGTGCTGAATTAAGAACACAGAACACACAAGGTCTGGGTAACTTGCTTACACTGTTAGAACAGCAATACTTTAGAACCTAAGAGTCAAGGAATCTGCCATAAACAGTATGAAGCCACTTCACTTCGTGCCACTTGTAACCCAACCATTCAGCCCCATGTATGAACTAAGCATTGAACTCACCAGTTCGATATGCCAATAACCTGGCCTGCACCATGCAGTGCCGTGCAACTTCCTGTGGCAAACTTTGATTGTGAATTTCATTGATCTGTTCTGGGTTGCTACAGTAGAATCCGAAGTGTTTCAAGTTGGGCACACTGGAAGCTACTGTGGCCAGAAGCAGGATCAGGTCTTTCATGTTTTGCCTTAGATTGCTAAAATAGGGGTTTTCACACAAGTTCTCCAGACCTATAGTCATTAGTATCTGCTTATGCATTTCTTCATTTGAAACCAAAAATAACATTTCATATTCTTTTATTCTTTCTTGTTTACATTCAGAATAAAAATCAGTGTCAGCACCCGACAGTGCTCTGGCAGTTTTTTGAATAAAGTCACATTTGTAAGAGGTTTCCTCTACAAACTGCACCATGTAGCACACCAGTGGCTGGAGCAGGACACACACATGGGCCCGGCTGTTTGACTTCAATCTTTCTGCTGCTTTGGCATCTAGCTTTGCATCTTCAGAACTAGAAGCTTCGGTGAGCAAACTTATTTCTGGGTCAGAAGGCCAGTAAGAAATTCGGTTAACTCCAGCTAAAATATAAAAATATTAAAAAAAAGTCATTGTTTTGATATAAGCTGAACAGAGGCTTTCTATCTAAATCCAGCCCACTATTACCAAAACAAACATCTAAACTGTCACTTACATAATGTCAGGGTTGGCAAAGAAATGCCCACAGGCCAAAATGGGTCTATGGCTAGTTTTTATTCAGCTGATAGGTTAAATATGGGCTCTACAAGAGAATATTCTATATCATATGAGATGATGAGAAATTAAAATTTCAGTGTTCATATTTATTCAAAGACAAACCCCTTCATTTACATATGCACAGAGTACCCGCAAATGGCAGAGTTGACTACAGTAGAAACTATGCTGCCTATAAAACCTGAACTATTTACTCTCTGGCTTTTTCAGGAGAGTGTTTGCCAACCCCTACCAAAGCTCGGGTGGCATTTGTAGGTCTCCCGGCTTTGCTAAGTGTGACTGAAAACTCAGCATGAGCGTTATACACCAGCTCTTCCATGTTGCCATGGTTGCTTCTGGAAATGTTACAGCCAATACTTGGTAAGACCTAGAGTTTTGTTAATAAATCATTATAAATGATACATTTATGTACTACAAATGTTCTTGTCTCAGATTCAGAATTCTTCTGAAAAGCCACATTCTAAAGAGAGAGGAAAATGTCATGCTTTAATGCAACGTTCTTTGAACTAAAAACAACTCCAGACAATCAAAATAGGGGACTAAATAATGTGACTCCTCATCCAGTTAACCAAGACAGGGGAACACACAATGGGACCCCTCGCAGTTATCAAGATGCCCACCAAAATGTTTCGGTTTTAAAAATTGTTGCTTTCACTTTCTTTAACCTTGGTTTTGTTAGCTAGTTTTAAGTTAGCACACAAAGAGTTTCATGATGCTGTTTTTTTACACACTCTATTCTTGTTGACCACAAAGAATTTTTAACAGAAAAATATTTGCAGGTGAAGATGGAGTGATGAGAAGAGCACCACCAACCTTTAAAAAGCCTATAAATCAAAGAGAAAACAACACCCCGAGCAACATTCTTCATTCAATGACAGAAGGTAAGAAGCTTTTACTACACAAAAACACAATTCGCTCATTAAATAAAAGTACATACTGATAAGAAAAAGACCTTAAGAGAAACAAAAGACATAAACAAGCAACTTGTAAAAGAAACATAACTAGATAACAAACACGAAAAAATAAAGTTGAATGAAGTTGTTATGCAAGTACCAAATGTTTGTTAATTATGAATAGTTTACAACAGAAAATTTTTTGCTAGTATCTTGTATGATTTCAGCTCAACAAGATTAAAAGTTTTTGTATTATTTATTCATGTGCTTGTGCAATAAAAAGATTTTATTTTGTGTGTTTGTACACGTGAGTTCGAGTGTCCACAGAAGAGGGTGCTGGATTTCCTGGAGCTAGAGTTGCAGGCAGTTGTGTGCTGCCTGACTTGGGTGCTGGGACCTGAACTTAGGTTCCCCACAAGAACAGGAAGTACTCATAACCACTGAACAGCAAGAGAAAACCTAAGACACATGCTGAAGGCAGTTCAGTTCACTCTGAACTCAGTCACTTACATGGTCCTTAAGGTAACCCTCTTACTGTGATTTGTAGCAATTACTTCATATACTTGTTATTTGTAGCAATTACTTCAGCTCTGATTCACTCAAAACACTAAGATGAGGTGTACTTGGCCAATGAAACACATGACTTTTCTTATTTCTTATGTGTTCTGTTCCATAACACAAAACCAAGAAGTTACACCAGTCTTCCAAAGCTCTCCACAGAAGCCCTGACCAATAATCACAATCCATCCACCACTACTCCACAAAAGGACCTTTCCAATTCAAATGCTGAACCTTACTTCATGCTTCCATTACTATATGTGCTGCTGCCTTGGCTAGCAACATGAAGACCCCTGTTCTACATCCAACCCACTGTGATGGTTTTAATGAGAAATGTCTGCTTTGGCCTGCATGTGAGTCCCTGGCCTGGTTGGTGGCACTGTCTGGGGAGGCTATAGAACCTTTAGGAGGTACAGTCTTGCTGGAGGAACTAACTCACTGGGGTGGGCTTGGGCAGTTTGGAGACTTACTGCACTTCCTGTTCTCTGCTTCCTGCTGCCATGCCTGCCTGCTGCCATGCCTCCCCTACCATGAATGGACTCTAATCCATTCACAAGCCCAAGTAAACTTGTCCATAAGTTGCTTTTGGTCATGGTACTTTATCACAGAAACAGAACAGTAACTAACACAGCCATGAAGATCCAGCTTGTGCCAGCCTTCACAACACAGCATCCAGGATTCTGAGCTCATGCATCACTTATTGCCTGTGTCATTTATTTGATACCAAGTGATCCCTGAGGGAAAGGGTTGGGAGTCATATTTGTTGTCTTCTTCCTTCTAGAGCTACTAGGTACCCATATATAAGATGCATCCTTTAAAAGGATACAATCATCTGCATATTTGCCTACCTATAAAATAGAATCAGAAGCAGTTAGGTGTCTACACATTAAAATTTTGTGTGACCCTTCCAAGGTTTATAGTAACCTTTGGGAGTGTGCTGGCTAATTTTTGTCAACTCTACACAAACTTAGCCATATTTTGGAAAAGGGAGTCTGGAGAAATTAGGGAACTGTCTCTATCTGACTGTCCTGTGGGCATGTCTGTGGGGCATTTTCTTTATTAACGATTGGTGTGTAAGGGCCCAGTCCATTGTGGGTGGTACCATTCCTGGGCCTGGGTTATACAGGAAAGCCATGGGGAGCAAGTCAGTAAGCAGTTCCTGAACTGAGTTCCTGCCTGACTTCTCTAACAATCAACTTTAGGTGGACTTGAAAGCCAAGAAAGCCTTTTCCTTCTCATGTTTGTTTTGGTCCTGGTGTTACCACAGCAACGAAAAGGAAAGTAGGAGAGAGACGGCTGCCCAGCCACAGCCTACAGCTCCCGCAATGATACAAACACAAAGAACGTGGGTGGCCTCCAGGTCACAGCTTTTGTGTTGTTCCGTGGTCTCACCCGTGCCACGCAAGCCCTCCACCACTGAGCTACAATCCCCAGCTGCTCTCCCGCAAGCAGCATTTTGAAGAAGCAGGTGTGCCTTCTGTGGATGCAGAGGACTCAAGGGAGGCCCCGGGATGACAAAAGAAGGGAGAAGAATGATGCCTAACCCCGCAAACCAACCATGTGATCAAAACCATCTGCTGCTCAGCAGTGCCTGTGTCTGACAACTGTAGGTGAGAGACAGTCTTAAGCCACTGAAATTGGGGTTTCCTTTGTCAACTAACTAGCCTGTGATTTACCCAGGTCATTTGGCAGATCAGTAGGCAGAGCTGAGCTCAGAACCCATGGTTTCAGTCTTGAACTCTTACATGTACAAACGGTCTTCGAACATGCCTCTCCACTCCCCACCATCTGTTATTGAGGCAGTGTCTCCCCTCACGCCTGCTCAGATAAATGAGCTGAACTGCCAGCACCGCCTTATCTGTACTCACCATTCACAATCATTTTCAAACAAGCAGAACATGGCTTTCTTGAAAAATAAAGATCACAGTTTTTCAGCCTGGACCCGTGTTTAATGAGAGCAATCTGCCCAGTGTGTAGGTCTTCACTGGAGCAGTGAAGACCAATGATCTTCATGTTTTCCACCACCACAAGACCGGTCTTCTTCACCTGGTTAAGACACGGAATAATACATTATTAATTAAAACTCTTACTATCCTTCCACGGGTAATATTTGTTTTTCTAATGAGATGAAAGCTATGCTTAGTTCTTACCTAAACACAGTCTGCATAAAAATAGATTTCTAATTAGGACCACAAAGAATTTCTGAGAACTTCATATTGACTTTAAATGGGACAATTTCAAAACTAGGGCTCTATTAATTAATCAGTTACAGGTGTGACTAGTATTACTTTGTTCCAGTGAAAGATGAATTCATTTTAACGTAATAAAGGCCACAAGCCGAGTCAGCTGACTGGTTTCTCCCACCACCCAGGCTGGGACTATTTAACTGAAAGCTTCACGATGGTGTAAGGAAATCTTCTGGGTTTCACACAGGCCTCCAAAGGACCCACAGATGGTAAAGGCAGAACTAAAGCAGACATCATCTCCACTCTCAAATTACAAGATTTTTTTTTTTTGAGTCAGGATTGCATTATATAGCCCAGGCTGGCCTTAACTTGTGCTAAAGAGATAGCTCAGCTACTAAAGGTAAGGGGACAACTAAAATGTCATGCATTTGACTCCAAACTTGCAACCTGTAAACCTTCCCTCTTTATCTCCAAGTATCCTCTAACTGTACATTCCTTGAATATACTGTGTGTGGTGATATTTTATTTGTATGTTAATAAATAAAGTTGCTGGAGATCAGAGGTCAAATAGCCAATAAGCAGAAGTCTGGCAGTAGTAGCACATGCCTTTAATCTGATCACATGGCAGGCAGAGTCTGTGTGGTCAAGGACACAGCCAAGCGTGGTGACACCAGTCTTTAATCCCAGTACCAACCATAGAGACCTGGAGGTCTGTATAGACAGGCAGTGACGAGAAAGTCATATGGCTAGGCTTAGAGCCAATGAGAAGGCAGAACAGAAAGGCAATAAAAACACAAGTCAGGCAGGAAGAAACGCTCTCTCGGTGAAGCTACTGTGGGGTGGTAAGCTAAAGCTAGTTGTGGCTATTGCTCTGATCTCTTTGGCTATTTCCTCTGTATTTGGCTCTGTGTTTCTTATTTACTAAGACTGTTTAGAATTTCGTCTACAATAGTGGATGTTATTTTCTCCTTCCAGCAAGCTTGTTTGCAACACTGTTCACTTTAGAAAGCAACCAATGAAAATGGCCTCAGCAAAGGATCTTGCTGTTCAACTGAGCCAATTTGGCCAGCGGAGTGGCTGCAACTCAGTTGAAGGACATCAGCCTTACATTGTCAGCAGATAGAAATAAACCAGAAATAAATGACTGTATGTGACCAGACACAAAAAGCACATTATCAACCTCTTACTAGAACAATCTTTCAGGCAACATTTATCACTTTTTGAGTCCTTTTAAAACAAAATAAAAATAGCTGGGTGTAGTGGTGTATGCCTTTAACCCCAGCACGTGGAGGCAGAGGCAGGTAGATCTTTGAGTTTGAGGCCAGCCTGGTCTACAGAGCAAGTTCCAGGACAGCCAACACTACTCAGAGAAAACCCATCTTGAAAAACAAAAAATAAAACACTGCTCCCCCATTAAAAAACAAGCAACAACAAAAACCTGTTAATTTTGCTTCTAGCTAAGGCCAAAGTATCTAGTTTGAGATGGAAGTTTTCACCCCAAACGGGAAGCCCAAGTTGTGTTCCAGCCTGGGACTTCTAGTTACCACAGACCCAGGACGCTGACCTGGGAACTGCTCTTCTGGGCCCTGGCTTGTCTCACTCCATGCACATCTTGGCAAGTTTCTATATAACTTTAGAGGTTTACATTAAAACACGATAGACCAGGACCACCTTTTGCGCATGACTCAGTCAGTGTGTTTACTTAGGTGACATACTGTTTCTCCCCCTTTGTTTTTCTTTTATACTGAAAGCATCTAAGCATTCTGAGGCAAATTATTTCTAAATCACACCAGGTAGTGAAGAGACTCACTCCCAGAATTAATCAGGCAACTTATATAGACAGACATCAGAATAAGTCTTTTCAAATGCATGTACTTATTCTCTGCATATGATGAATAAACATCTCTGGAAGGTAAAGGTAGAGTGACGAGGAATACCAGGCAGAACGGTGGAGGACAAATTTGTCTTTTGGTCTGACTACCCATGTTTCCTAGATACTAGCAGAAAACATGGAACTCCTGGGTCAGGGACAAATGACTCTGAAGAGTGAGAAGCACGTTTGTAGTGGTTCACACCCTCCAGCCCCGCATGTGTGTCGTTCCCGTGGCCCCCCCTCCCCGCCGTGGGACCCACAGTGGCTATGCTTTTTAGGAGAAGAACATTAAGGCTGGGATCCTGGTGTTTGAAGGCAAACAGTAAACCAATCTGTTGTTTGTTCCAGAGGGAGATACTACTTCAACCCTGAATGCTTTAGAAATGACCAAGATAAAGACCAATTAGGTTTTGCATTCTCGCTATAATAACCAAGATACACACGTGTGGAGGAACCTGCAGGGGTATTGCTCAACACATCTGTGTAACTCAGGATTAGAAGTTACACTTGAGAATTAAACAAGTAGGAGAACATGACAGAATCCTCCCATGGAGTTTTTCAAACAGGAAAGACGTATAGGTTTGTCTGTACACAAGAGGCCTTTAAGGGGAATCTAGAAACTCCCCTGAGCATGGGAGGTCTTGTACACGACTTTATTCAGTCCTCTTGCTTTGTTATTATGAACTTGTACATCCTTTTTAAATTACCTGTTTTTTGTCAGAAGACACTCTGGCCAACTCTTCATTATCTCCTAAGGGGCCACGGTTTTCCTCTTCGTTTTTCTAATTAAAATCAGATTAAGAGGGAAAATGATTAATATGATGAATTATTTGATATGGATAATGTATAAACGATATGATAAATACATCTCAGTATTTAAGGGCTGGTTTTCTCTGAATCATTTTCCCCCTTATGAAACTCTGCACTGATGTCTCACTTTGCTTGGTTACAGACTCAGACTCTATCCAAGCTAGTATGTAAGGCCACATAATTTAAACCTTAAGGAAAGCATGAACCAGTAAGAAAGAAAATTCTTCTGAAATGTCAGCCATCTTCATAGTACCTAACTTCTACTTCAAAACTTTTTATGAACTGCCTCTCAGCCTTCTTATAAGTCTCAATGGACAATTTCTTTTTCCGTCATTGATTGGACACTTTAAAATTCTGTCTTTATTGCTGAACAATGTAAGTATTTGATAGCATAGAAGAATTCAGACACCAGTCATACTTACAAATATATTAAACCTATTAAATATTAAATTTGGCAAAAGTGACAATGCAAATGTCCATCAATATAATTGACTTATACAATTTATTAAAATCTTAATCAAAACAGTCTATCACAGTGCAGGCATAAAGAGAGTTTTAAGTTCAACTCATTCATTGCTCACAAGAACTCCACAGGGGCTGGAAGTGTGTGCTCAGGGTATGGAGCACTTGCTTTGCATGTACAAGGCTATGAGTTCAATTGCCAGAACCTCAAAACAAAACAAAGCATGTTGTATGTACTAGTGATTTTTTCCACTGTACTAAAAAGGAAGCTGACGCACAAACAGAAAATACCTTACTCAAAGCTACACAAACCAGCAATAGTGTGAACTGGAATGTGAGCCCAGGCAGGCTGGCTATGAACCTCTGGCTGCTCTTAAAATACTAGATCAAGCTGCTGCTCCCAGGCACATAACGCCACAGCATATGTATTTTTTACATCTGGTGAAATAAAATATCTCAAGCAAGTGAAAGAAAAAAGGATAAAACAATAGGAAAACGTCAACAGTCTCTAGGTGGTAAAGTAGTGAAAATCTTTTCTTCTGTTCATTATTTTATAAATAATGAACACATACTAATTTGGTAACTCATAAAATATTTCATACAGCTATATGTCAAATTGCATCTTGGAGCTTCCATGACTTACTCTGTGTGATTAGTTTTTGTCAATCTGACATAACTAGAGACATCTAGGAGATGAGAACTTCAGTTAAGGAGTTGCCTCTATCAGACAGGCCCATGGGCATGCCTTTAGGGTGGTTTACTCATTAATAACTACATTGATATGTGAGGGCTCAGCCCACTGTGGGCAGTGCCAACACTAGGTATGTGGTCTTGGATTACATAAGAAAGGGGGCTAGGGAAACTGAAAAGTTATTTAAGTATATTAACTAGTACAAAGAGAACTCTCCAGAAAGCATATGCAGTATGATTTTTTAATGCTGCTGGTTTACTGGTACCCTCAGTTTCAATAATAATGTTTATACAGAAGAGATAAAAACGGAGGATCATGTGCTCCCTTTCATTTGTTCCTCCCCAACCCTATCACTGGTTTTGCTTTTCTGCAGCAGCCAAGACACTCAAACTGATGAAACTAACATACATACCTGCTTTCCTGACAGTAGATGCACAAAGAAGTGATAACGATAATCTATGCATTTTGTAAATTTGCTTTTCTGGTATTTAAAACACATTTTCCATTTAGACAATGTTAAAAATGATAACCAAGTTCTCAAGATAGCATACATTACTAGAGTAATCTTGAGGGTGCCGTTGCTACATGACCGCACATGCACTGTTCAGTAGCAAAGCAAAGGGCCTTCCGGCCCATGTAATCCCTACACTGCATGATCACGTAATTTGCGCTGCGCAGTGTGATCATGCAATCTATGTGCATGTGTAGCATAGCTCCAAAAGCCTATATGTGCGTGTGGGGGGGAATCCATAAAAAGCGAGTCACAGACTCCTCCCCTCTTCTTCTCCTTCTTCCTCTCCATGCACAACCTTCCAGAGACCTAAAGCACATTCCCCTCTATTCCTTCTCCTAATAAACTCTTACTGTGGGTTTTGTTGTGCCTTGTGGCTTTTCTCACCGGTAAATGGAGCCACTTAATGCATAAAACTAACAGATGCCTCAGTCCAGTGCCTGTGGGTCCTAAGGCTTATGGCTAAGGAATAAAAGGGAAGCTTACCTGACACTGTGGCTTGACAGCTGTGGGAAATCTGGGCATGAAGCCCAGCTGGAAAGACATTAACACAGTGAACAGTAGCAGGGAAACGTCAGGCTCTCTAAGAAGTAAACTTTCCTAGGTCAAACCTCTTTCCAAGTTGGCTGGCTTTTAGAAAGCAAGGATTTATTTTGATGACCTCTGTAATTATTTCTATGTCTAGTTAAGATTTTAATTTAAAAGCCTTAAACTGATACAGGTATGAGTTAGATTCTTAAACAAGATTTCAAATAAAATATTTAAAATAAAGCCAATTTATTTCTCTTAAACAAACAAAACTTTCATGGCATCTGTCAGATGAAGGAAAGGAAGCCAGAAAAGCAGACCACCTCAGGGTGAGGAGGAGGCACTTAAGTAAATAGCACCTCCTTTGTTTAAAAAGACAGGAAGTTTGATCAACCCTTGTTTCTAATGAAGTTTTACAACCCTGAAACTTACCTAGAGGCATTTTAATCAGAATACTAATAGCCTTATCTCAGTTTTCTCTATCAGAATGAGGAAGTTTCCTAATAGAAAGTTACACATTACACTTCACTAATTAAAAAAAACTTATGCATCAATAAAGGACTCAATTTATATGTGTATAAACAGAATTATGATGAGATCAAATGTGGCTAATAAAGTTAAAAAAATTTTCAATTTTGGCATTTAATTACTAACAAATCTGACTTTCACAATGTACATTTTTAAGGTGTGAAGTGTCTCCCAAAGAAAACCATTAATCAAGGCATACACTAGGACTAACTTTTCAGACTGGAAAGATGAGCTATTATGCTGTGAGTCCCAAGCATAACGTCTTGAAGCTATTTCTCAAGTTTGAAGGCCTGCTGGATTTGACTACGAGAACTACAAGAGGGCAATGAAATCAAACTTAGACTACCGCTTTTCCAAGGGTAAAAACTATCTACAGAAACAAGTTATACCTGAGACTTCTGCCCTTGGGTTTCTACTCCTGGGAAGAGCTCCATCCAGAGACTGAGCAGAGTGAAAAGGTTGACTTTAGAAAGCCTTGGTATTTGACCTACAAAAGAGAGGGGAAGCACTTCAGAATGTCACTAGTGATGGCAAAGGAGCTGAGCCCAAACCTACTTGTGAAATGCAAATAGATTAGCAGGTAAGAGAATCATAGCTACATTAGCAAGAGCGGCCACAACCTAACTTCCAGTGACCTTCCGTGGCTCTTTCCAAAGTTGGGTCCTTTTTTTTCTCCAGGTCACCTCATGGGCAAAACAATACAATCGGCACAGAAGCTCTAGAAATATATAAAAAATAAACTGGGGCAAGTCCTCGCCTCTGACGTGGTAGAGCAAGGTTTTTGTTATTTTGTTGTTGTTTGTTTTGTTTGCACTGGAACAAGGCATTGCTAAAAGGGAAATGGTTAGAACACGCCTGATTTTCAACCATAAGGAGAAACATGAGGGAAGCATTGCATGCGGTGAATTAGGAAACCAAAGCAAAAGCGCAATTTCAGGCTCTTCAGCCCCAGGAGTCTAGGTCCTGCAACCAGGAGAGCAGGGCAAGGCGCATTTCCAGGGAAGCCAGGGCAGCACAGCCCCAGACACGCCTCTGGCAAGGAGACCAGGAAGCAGCAGGCCTGGCGCGAATGGCTGAGACAGACAGAGCGCTTGGCAGGAGACATGAGGCAGGAAAGTTGCAGGGAAGGAGGGGAACACAGGGCTAGCAGGGCGGGAAGGAGACAGTGTAGGCAGGTCACTGAGCCGGAGGGTGACACAGGGCAGGCGGGACAGGGACGGTGTAGGCAGGACACAGAGCCGGAGGGCGGCACAGGGCAGGTGGGGCGGGGACGGTGTAGGCAGGACACAGAGCCGGAGGGAGACACAGGGCAGGCGGGACGGGGACAGTGCAGGCAGGACACAGAGCCAGAGGGCGACACAGGGCAGGTGGGGCGGGGCGGTGTAGACAGGACACAGAGCCGGAGGGAGACTGGCGGCAGGCGGGACGGGGACAGTGTAGACAGGACAGAGCCGGAGGGAGACCGGCGGCAGGCGGGACGGGGACGGTGTAGGCAGGACACAGAGCCGGAGGGAGACCGGCGGCAGGCGGGACGGGGACGGTGTAGGCAGGACACAGAGCCGGAGGGAGACCGGCGGCAGGCGGGACGGGGACGGTGTAGGCAGGACACAGAGCCGGAGGGAGACCGGCGGCAGGCGGGACGGGGACAGTGTAGACAGGACACAGAGCCGGAGGGAGACCGGCGGCAGGCAGGGCGCCAGGCATGGCGGGCGAGAAGGCGGACGGGAGCAGGGCCACGCACTCACCCGTCATGCTGCCAGTCTGCGTGCCGACTGACCGCCCGGCCCCCGAGCCCTCCAGACTCTGCATCTGATCAGCTTCTTTCATCCCCAGCCCAGAGGCCTCGGCCCAGGGCAGCTCGCCCAGTCAGGCATGATAGAAAACACCGCAACTCCCCTCCGGCCGCCTCCACCGCCTGTCAACAACCGCTCGCTTCGCGCAGCAAGATGACGTCGCAGCATGCCCGTCGCTTCTGGCGCCCGACGTGACGTCAGAGCCCGGTGGACCGAGGTGGAGGTGGTTGTCTGAGTTGTCGGTCTCCTGCAGCTCTGTGTCTCTGGCTCTGTCCAATGGTTTTTGCAGAAAGAAGGGCGCTTGAAGTTTGCTTGGTCCGAGGCCTTAGGTGCTACGGCCGGCCGCGGGGACCAGTGGAGGACTTGGGCAGAGAGGTGCGAACGTGAAACCGGAGTGGGCGAGGGAGCAAGCAGGGCTGTCAGAACCCGACCATCAGAGATGGACGGAGCCCAGGGCATTTAGTTCTGCTTCTTACCAAGCACGTACAAACATTGAGGATTGGGAGGGGCGGACGGAGTAGCCAGCCAACCCTGGAAAATCTGAGTTGTTAGCTCTTGTGTGTTTGTAGGTTGTGTGTGTGTGTGTGTGTGTGTGTGTGTGTGTGTGTGTGTGTGTGTGTGTGTGTGACGTGTACAAGCCGGTGCCTTCCTTTATGGCCTGCCCTCCATCTGTTTGTTTGAGACAGGGTCTCTCGCTGAACCTGGAGCTCACTGACTGGCTCGACTGACCGGCAAGCCATGGAGATCCATCCCCCTATCTCAGATTTCCCACTGTTGTGATTACAGGTTGTCTGACCTCATCCAGGCCTGCTTTCTTATGTGGGCTTGAGGAATCCAAAAGGAACTTGGGTCCTCAAGTTTATACCTAAAACATTTATACAATAAACCATCTTCCCAGACCCCATTGAATTTTTAAAAATGTCCAAGGCATGACTTAAAATGAAACCTTGGAGGGCTAGAGAGATACCCCAGTGGTTAAGAGCACTTCCTACTCTTCCAGAGGACCGGAGTTCAGTTCCCATCCAGTGGTGTTCACTATAACCTGTAACTCCAGCTTCAAAGGATCTGATGCCTCTTCTGGCGTCTGGGGGCACTGTACACTTGTAGCATACATTCACACACAACACACACATACATACTAAGAAAAGAAATTAAGTGTTCCTTCCCCAGTGACTCAGAGCCCTGTTTCTATCACCAACGTATTTGGTTCCTCAACATGAAATGTAAGTAGCAAAACAGAATTTTCTTTCTGGTTATGAAGGCAAAAGCTGAGCATTAAGGGGGTACATCATGTAGCTAGAGTTTTCCTGCCTGGCCCACAATCAGGACAAATCTCTGTCACCCGCCAGTCCCACAGCCGCTCAGACCCAACCAAGTAAACCAGAGACTTATACTGCTTACAAACTGTATGGCTGTGGCAGGCTTCTTGCTAACTGTTCTTATATCTTAAATTAATCCATTTCTATAAATCTATACCTAGCCACGTGGTTCGTGGCTTACTGGCATCTTCACATGTGGCTGGCAGTGTCTCCTTCTGCCTTCCTGTTCTTTCTTTTCTCCTCTCTGTTAGTCCCACCTATACTTCCTGCCTAGCCACTGGCCAATCAGTGTTTTATTTATTGACAAATCAGCAACACATTTGCCATACAGAACATCCCACAGCAACATCATTTAGAAAGAACTCAAGTGGGAATTTTCAGTATTGATGGTGTAGCCATAGTTAAGTGATTTTTATGCTATACAGTATTTGATTATAGATATATATCACAACACTTTTGAGCACAGGAACATCAGGATATATCTAATTACTTGCTGTAGCAAACCAAAAATAATTTTAAAAAATGCTTCTTTACATATTTACATATGTCTCTTGTGAATGTGCAAGAGTTTCTTTAGGGGCTAGAGAGATGGTTCAGCGGCTAAGAGCATCTGGCTACTTTTCCAGAGGTCCTGAGTTCAATTTCCAGCAACCACATGGTGGCTCATAACCATCTGTAGTGAGATCTGGCACCCTCTTCTGGCTTGCAGGCATAAATGCAGATAGAACACTACATAATGAGTATCTTTTAAAAAAAAGTTTCTTTAGAAACCACATATAGAATTCTTAGGCCACTGTCCAGTTTACTAGACAAACTGATGTGTGTTCTAATGAGTTTGAACTAGTCTATGTAGATCTGAATTTCCATCCTTTCTTGGTATTGTCTGACTTCATGTTTGACAATCTAATTGATATAAATGTATCTTATGGCTTGATTTCCTCTAATTTCTTCTTAGGTTAACTATCTTATGTTGATTGGCCATACATGTTTCCTCTCTTTGAAATGCCTATTAATTTTTTTTGACTGTATTTTATTTTGAATTAAAGCTCTAGACTCAGAGATTGTTGTGGAAGAGATGGAAAGATTGTAAGAGCCAGGGGAACAGGGATTTTGCTGTGAGATGTATCACCTAGAAATATCATAAGCTCCATTCATAGAGTCTCATAAAAATTTTTGCTACAATGCTAATTCTTAAATGTTAACATTTGTCTTCTCTCCTTCTCATTTTTTGGTTTAATTATGTGTGGGTGGACAACATATGTACATGTATGCAGGTGCTCATAGAGACCAGAAGAGGGCTTCAGATCCTCTGGATCTGGAATTAGGTGGTTGCAAACTGCCTGCTGTAGGTGCTGGGAACTGAACTCAGTTCTTCTGCAAGAGCAGCAAATGCTCTTAACTACTGAGTCATCTTTCCAGTCCCATAACAAAAGTTTCATCTGTGCCATCTTTGATGAGAAGAGAATCCCCTCAGGCACAGACTCTTTCAAAGCTACTAAGGGAAACTTTATGTAAATCTAAAGAACTCATAATTCATAGTTTGAGGCGGAATTCTGCTCTTCCAGAGAGGCTGAATAGCAAGTATCTAACCTCCCTTTGCTGGCATCTTCCAAAAAACCCAGCGTCCTTCCCTCAGCCCCCACTTAAAAACCCTTGCTACAAGTGGTTATTCCTTACCACTTCCTGTCAGCTGCTTGCTGAGTCAGTCTCCTGTTCACAGGTTAATTTTATTTAATCAAACACATTTTTGAATTGTTAATAAAAGCAGCAGGAAAAAATGCAACACACTTTAAAATAATATTCCCTAACATTTTCTCTTGACTGGACTCGGGCCCTGCAGTGTGAGACAGAATGTCCATCAAGTGATGGTGGATCTTCCCAGTGCCACATACTCCTCGGGCACTAAGAGACTCTCACAGTCAGATGAAGTGATCAACCACGTGAAGTGTGAAGGCCTAGACTTAACTTTACAGGCTTAGGAATGTGCCATGACCACTCGAATGGATACAGAGCAGTATCTTCCCCCAGACATCCTGTCTGTGGTTTATGGCCCTTGAAGATATCTAGATAATCCTGCTGAGCAGTCCAGATAATCCTGTTCAGCGGGTGTAGTTCCCCGCCAAAAGTCTAACCCAATGGTTTCAAATATGGTTTTGCCCCCAAAGTCTAGACCACTAGTTTCAAAGAATCACCTTGCCCCATACGCCTTCTACCCAATCCCAAGTTGCCAATTCCTGGCTTGTGGTTTTTCCCTGTAAGAACTCTCTACACCTGGGCTGAACCTGAATAAAAGGACCCTCATGTGCTTGCAATGGAAACCGGCTCCTTGGTGGTCTCTGGGGGTTTTGCGAAACGGGTACAACAGAAGGAAGCCCGTGTGGGCAAGAAGAATGAATAACCCCTAGGAACTGGAAGACTCTCTCAGACCTAAAGTCTTAGTCAAGAGTGAACAAATAGCTTGGAACCTCAGTCATACAGTCACAAGGAACTGTGGAGGTCTACATTGTCACTTACCCCATTACTAGACAGTACCTACAGTGATTATTTGGTGAAGTATCTTCAAGGTTTGCCTATGATGCAGCGGTTCTGCCTACTATCTACAGAAATTCTCCTTGTTCTCTTCTCTCTGGCCATGTGGCTCTGCCTACCATCTACAGAAACTGCCATGTTCTTTCTCTCCTGGCCATACAACTCTGCTCTGCCTAGGAATCCTGCCCCATCCTTCACTCCACCTGGATATGCAAAAACCTCCTTTGTTCTGAATCAATTGCTCTGGAATGCCATTTTCCCTGTCTGGGGAAGGGAGGTCTGAGCTTCATTTGCACAAGACACAAAGCTATGCATCTACAGCCCTCCTATCTCTTAGGCCTAGCAGGGGTGTTACCTAGTGGGTCAGCAGTAGGTCTGAGAAGCTAAACAGTTTGCCAAATGGCCTAGTAGTATATGGGCACACAAGAATTTCATAGCAGAAGACAGGTGATGCATATTAAAAGCTGGATAACACCAAATATTCTTTGATAAATGGCTTCCTCTTGAAGGACACCTTGGTCAGTCAAGGTATAATTTATTATACAGCTAAATCTCTATAATATATTCTTGTGGCTCACTGCATTGACCCGTATTTCTTATCTGTGTTTTGCTATGTGATTTGTGGCTTGTCACCTCATTTTTTACATGTCTTGCCTCCTCGGTGGCTGGCTGGCAGCTGCCTGACTCTGAATCTGCCACTGCCACTTTCTTCCCTTCCTTCTTTTGGTTGTCCTGCCCATACTTCCTGCCTGGCTACCTATAGATGGAAGTTTCTCTCCCTCCCACCTGTTCCCAGCAGCTGCTTCTTAAATAATTGACTCGGAGACTTAATATTATTTATAAATGCTTGGCCAGTAGCTCAAGCTTATTATTAACTAGTTCTTACACTTAAATTAACCCATAATTCTTGTCTATGTTTGGCCACATGGCTTGGTACCTTATCTCAGTATAGCATTCTCATCCTCTGTGTCTGGCTAGTACTCCTGATTCTGCCCTTCCTCTTCCCAGCATTCTAGTCTAGTCACCCTGCCTATACTTCCTATCTAGTTACTGGCCAATAGGGTTTCATTAAACCAATTCAAGTGACAAATCTTTTTTTTTCTTTCTTTCTTTTTTTTTTTTCAAGACAAGGTTTCTCTGTGTAGCTTTGTGCCTTTCCTGGAACTCACTCTCTAGCCCAGACTGGCCTCAAACTCACAGAGATCCACCTGCCTCTGCCTCCCTATTGCTGGGATTAAAGGCATTTGCCACCACTGCCTGGCTCAAGTGACAAATCTTTACAGTGTACAAGAGCATTATCCCACAGCATTTCCCCTTTTTTGTCTAATTAAAAAGGTTTAAACATTAATATAGTAAAACTATATACAACAATAGAGGAAGGGCAGAGTTGGGAGATACCAGAGAGGTGCCCAAGAAGCAAGACGTGAAAGTACTGGTAAGTCATCGGCCACATGGAGACACATAGAATAATAGAAATGGGTTAATTTAAGATGTAATATCTAGCTAGCAATAAGCCTGAGCCATAGACTAAACAGTTTGTAATTAATATTAAGCCTCTGAGTGATTATCTCATAAGCTGCAGGGCCATGTGGGACACAGAAAAGCTCCCAGTTACATGTGGTATCCAACATTTGGCAAGAATTTCCACATAAAACCTGAGAAAGCTTAAAAAAAGATTCTAAACACACAAAAATAGAGTCAAACTTAGCTTCTTGGTAACTGCTTTTTCTCTAGTGGGCTCTGTTCGCTGGAGGTGAACAGAGATGTGGCTCCTTTAAGAGATGATTTCCTGACTCAGCATTAGCAGCAAAAAACATGAAGCTTTTTTTAGAGGACCTCCTGCCAAACATTTATATGGTGTTTATAAGCAGCCAGCAGCACGCTACTTGGTGGAAGCATTAGACCTAAAACCTCCCCAGAGTTGGGGGCGATACACATGGCTTCTGCCAGTA